GTTAGCCAATGGTGACATGCCAAGAAGAATCGAGACTCTGAAGCCAAGCTCCTTGCGTTTGTAGAAGAGCGAGAGGAAGTAGGGTGCACCAGCACCAAACGCAGCTTCAAAAATGCCCAATAGACTTCGGCAGACGACCAAGGTAGCCATATTTGTCACCGCTCCAGAGCAGGCCGCTGCCGTTCCCCATCTGAAGATATCTTGTCAGTAGATGTACATTGGAAATATGAGCGGATGGGGTCTCCCTTACAAAACGCAAAGACACGCGATGTAGATATGCGCGGGGAAGATCTTCCAGAGGACTGTCGTCCATTCAAAACAAACATAGCATATGTAGAAAGCATTGAGAACCCATGCCCACTGGGAGGAGTCGAGATGAAGATCGACGTCAACCCCAGCTGTTTTAGCATTGCCAATGTTGCCTCGGTCAAGATACGAGAGTACGTAAAGACAGCAGACAATCGGCAGGAGACGACGATCAAACTGTGGTAGGACAAGGCTCAGTTGACTTCTCTAAAAATCAAGTTTCGTATCTCGGTACTCACTGTTCTTTTGATCCGATTGCTCATGGCTTCGCTTGGAGCATGAGTAACGGTTCCCACTCCAACAGCCTCCTCGACCTCTTCGCTCTTTATATCCATCTTGTGATCAACATCAGACATGGTGGCTGTTATCACCCGTGCGATGAGATAAACGAGATCTTCTGAGTTCCGAATCGATGCCTTGGTATGAGCAGTGCGTCAAGAAGTAGAGAGGGTTGTGTTGTTGGCAAGTTGTCTCGCTCTTTCTAGAGAGATGACCAGCCGCCTTTTAACCTTTTGCCAAGCGCGGCAGGCAATTTTCCCCTGGTACGTTTGGTCCGGCACTATCCTGGTATCAACTGAGGCCTGAGGGTGACGGCCAGGATGGTTCCGCATGTATTCTGTAGGAGCTCGGCCGCGGAGGGCGGAATCAGGCGGGATCTTGCGTGTGCATTTCATGGGGGGGGAGTCTGGGGAAATCTGGGGAAGCGAAAGGGGGGCCCACTGATCAGCATTATCCGGTTCCGAACTTGACCAAGCCTCCGTCAGTTGCCGTAGATTTCCGGTCAATTGCCTGAACTTTCCGGCCGGTCGACTTTCCCATTCATCAGGAGCTTTCCATTATAAAGAGTCAATCATTTGTGCTTGTTTGTACATTCAAGGCTCACTCAACTCACAAGCACTCCTTGCCTCAACACTCTTGAAGTCCAGCTACTATCACATTACCTACCTTCTACTCTCCCACCACGCTTCCTTAAGTCACCATGTCCAAGTCAATTGTTAACACTACAGCTTACCCTTTCCAGTTCAACCCGCCGGTGGTTGAGAAGGGAGGCAAGCTGGGACAGATCCAGGATGTTGCTACAACCCTTAAGAACGTTCGGGGCAAGATCCCTTCTGTTCAAGCCAGCCGCCTGAGGTCCATGATGCTGGAAGCTCACAACGACCCCAGCAAGATCCTAGCGCACTGCTGCTCTTATGATGGTCTTTCCTCTCGTCTCGTCGAGGAGGCCGGCTTTCCCATGATCTTCTTGGCTGGCTACCCAGTTGCCAGCGCCTACGGTCTTCCCGACACCGGCTACATCGCCATGGCCGAGATGTGCGATAAGATCCAAGAGGCTGTTCGCCAGGTCAATGTCCCGGTCATGGCCGACGGCGACACTGGCTACGGCAGCCCTTTGAACGTTCGTCGCACGGTCGAGAGTTACGCCCACGCCGGCGCCGCTGGAATCATGATTGAGGACCAGACGTGGCCCAAGAGTAAGTCGAGTTCACGAATCGGCCTGAGGAGAACTTTCATTTTTATCTGACAAACTCTCTAGGATGCGGCCACACCAAAGGCAAGTCCGTCGTTTCCCGAGGCGAAGCGTTCGCTCGTATCAAGGCCGCTTGCGATGCTCGCGACGAGGGCAAGGACATCTTCGTCCTTGCACGAACCGATTCTTTAATACACGGATGGGAAGAGGCCATGGCTCGGGCTAAGGAATTCAAGAGGCTGGGTGTTGATGCGGTGTTCGTGGAGGCCCTTCCCGACCGCGAGTCCATGCGCAAATGCGTAGAGGAGATTGGCATTCCCACCTTTGCAAACAGTAAGCAGAGCCTATCGAATGATTTTCTGAGACTGCCCTGAATTACGCGAGTCGTTCTCGAGAAATTGTTCTAGTTCCAACATGGGAACGTACCGAATGCTAATTGTTCTTGTAGTCATCGAGGGTGGCCAGACAGAGAACCTCTCAGCCAAGGACCTCGCTGAGCTGGGCTTCTGCGCAGTCGCTTATCCTTGGACCTTGGTTGCTGCCAAGCTCAGAAGTATTCGAGAGACGCTAGAAGATCTAAAGAAGAGCATGACGGTCGGCGCGCCACCTATGATCCTCTCCTATAGCGAGGTCTGTGAAGGTGTTGGCTTCAATAAATACTGGGTAAGCTCCCCTTTCTCTGTCACCACGTATTTCTCCATCAAGTAAACTGACGTCTTCAATAGGATCTCGAGGATAAATATCGATTTGATGAGCAAGGCCTAACCAACGGCCACCATTAAGCTGTGATGAACCCAACGATAGTCAATCTGGTGAATACCATCTTGAAAAGCCACGGCACAAAGACGGCGGGCAAAGAAGAAAGAGCAAAGCCTAGAATAAACGTCCAGAAAATGAACAGTATGACTATTTTTGTCGATAGAGATGAGTTTCAGGGAATCAAAACTGCTTTCTAGAGCTCGAACAGTAAAAACATGGATGCTCTGCCATATTTCTTTTGGCCGCCCATCAGCCGCTCTATTTGTAATTACTCTTAAACTGAGCGCTCTGACTGGCTCAATACCCAATCCAAATCACTACCAAAATTTCCAGGATGGTTTTAATAACTAGTATGGCTCGTATTAGACAATCGAGATGTGTAGAAAACACCTTTTGCGGTGCTAAGTTTTCTGGCCGACACCTGTGGTACTTAAGAGACACCTGGTGCCAGGCTGATACAAGTTTTAGAGTGGTTGGTACAGCTACCTAAGCACATACCTTGCGTGTACACTTTGGAACCATTTGTGTGTCATCTTGTTCATTGCAAGTTGCCGGCCTTCTCTTCTCTTCTCCCCAATCCCCACTTCTTCCCTCTCTCTTCCCTCACCATTACTCCCCAATCTCTCAACTCACTTACCGGTTTCTCGGAGACATTGAGAAGGTACAAAAGTTCTTGTTTATTACCACCATCCCTTTGGTTGACTGTTGTCATTTGTCTCATTACTTTTTGTAGTAAAGAGGTACCAATATAGGCTCCTTTCTCCCTCACTTTCTAAAAACGAACTACCAGCCATCTCAGACCGCGAAAGACGCTCCCCCTTTCAGGAATTTATTCACACTATATGTACTCAGCTTAAATATTGCCCATCTCCATTTCTTTCATTTCTTCCATTTCTGAAACTCTCACGATGCTCGCCCTCGCGAATCGCCTTCCTCCTTCACTTGTTTACGGCTGGGGCTATATGGGGTAGCCAATTATACGGGTTATTCATGATTCATCTATGAAGCACTTCAGCCGCATCGTACCAGAGGCAGAAGAGGATATTTGAAATGAAATTTTCGAAATATGTCAATAGTGGACATTGCTTGAGCTTCATATGACTGCATTACTCGAATAAATCTGCAAAGTCGCGGCGTTTGAGCCAATCGGACACTTCTTCTCAGTAGCCCGGCGGCTTGTAATCCACCGAAGCCGAGCGTCTATCCCCTTCTCAGCGGGAAACATTCAGTGGCACAGCTGAAAGTGGCCGGTGGTAACGCTTACCTACGCCTTAGTAGATGAAAATAAAAAGCGACGTGGCTGGCAGATCTCGACACTAAAACTTGCTCTGTCATCCCCAGATGTAGCCGCTTTACTAATCGCGCAACATGCCTCGCACGTTATTACGGGATAAAGAACACCTCATGATTGATGAAGGGGGCGTGGAAATACCGTCCGACAAGGATGAGAGACGATCTGTGACGTTCCTGATGAGAAGGGGAACAAGGCAAACTACGGGCCTGCACTGGCATGAAGAAAAGACGGGTACGTGTTCCTCAGCCGCCTAACTAAGAGGGTCTGATACCTGACTCGTTCCGATTAACAGCTGACCTGGAAAATAGAATATTTGCAGGTGCTGCAGGGCCAGGCACTGGTCACAGTAGGTGATAGGACAGCGGTATTTGGGCCGGATGATGGTGTCATCACTGTGCCCCGGTTCACACTCCACGAGTTTGGACGCGCAGATCGCGTTATGGAAGGCGCCGATTCTCGTGAGGTGGATCTGCGGATCATGGAATGGACCGAACCCTCAGACGGTGCCAAAGAGACGTTCTTTCGAAATATGCTTGGTGTGATCATCGACAGGGAGGCGGGGATATTGGGCAACATCAAGCTGTTGCTGTCTCTTTTTGTGGTCATGCAACGATACGATAACTATCCCGTCTTCATCAAGGGGCCTACTCTCTTTGGCAAGACAGTGCAGAGCAGTATTCGGCGAACGACGACATATGTTGTCAGAGGCGGAATCGCACTAGTTGGGCGGTTATTTGGGCTGAAAGCGACTTACCCCGAATATACCCCTGCTTCACTGTTGGAGTTGAAGTAGGTGATGTGATGGAGGGCATTTGTCATGGGGCCATTTAAAGCTCTACAAGCCGAGTGGACGATGCTTATAAGAAGCTTTTAAGAAAATAGTGAACTGTTGCCCGAGGCAATGGACGTATGTGGGTGTTGATTCAAATATATTGGAAAATCCTAGAGCACCTTATAATTAGTATTAATAAGATCTTTTACAAGAGCGTGACAATGGAAAAGCTAAGTGTAGGGTCTACAGCTAGCTAAGCCCTGTAGCACAGAAATAGTGCAAGGCAAAGGCTGAGCTTAGCAAGGCACACACGGCCTCTGGTACTGTGCACGCAGCCCACATGATGATCGCTTTGCTTGCTGCGCACCTTGAACAACTCTCTTCAACAACATCGAACAATGAGGCGCCTCCTCGAAACGCTCCGTAGCCTCGGTAACAAGTCCGCACCGGGGCAGGCTCACCCGCCTCCTCCTCCACCACCGCCTCTCCTGCCTACCGACCGCCCACGCCCCAACACACCGCCAGATCCCTCCACGCCTGGACAGGTCGATCGTCTCGGAACTTTGTCTCGCCTACCGGCTGAGATATGCCGGCAGATTCTCACCGCAGCATTCGGCGGGCGAGAGCTCCATCTGGACCTGCGCCTCGTTCCCCGCCACTGGCGCCCTCTGCACGGCCGGACTGGTGAGTCCGCGCATGGCCGCGGCTCGGCGCCCTGGAGCGGGATCACGCCCAAGTTCAATCCCCAGGACGAGCGCGAGTGGCGGTGGTACGGCTGCGTTTGTCACCGGCAGATACCTTGGCGCCGTCCTCACTCCCACAGCTGGCCACACCACGACGCTTGTCTGGTTGGCGAGGCAAACTTGTGCTCAGTCTATCCACCGCCTCCTGGCATGCCGGCGGGCAGCTGCGACTATATAATCGGGGCGCTCGGCTGGCTGCGCACGTGTCGGCAGGCCTACGTGGAGGGAATCTCGGTGCTCTACGGCTCCAACGTGTTCATCCTGGAGAGTCAGGAACTTCTCGATCTCTTGCTCGACCCGGCCGAGGTCAGTCGGGGGCACGTAGTCCTGCCCCAGCACCTGGCCCTGATAAAGTCCCTGGAGGTGCGTATAGACACCATGCTCTTCCAGAGGCCGGGCCAGGACTACAGTGGCGGATACAGGCCGAATTGGAACGGGCGGCGGTCTCTGCCACACTTGGGTGGGTTAAAGGCCGCGTTCCCCCGTCTGCACTTCCTCGTCATCTCTTTTACGGAATACCTGTACGACGACGGCGCAACCCGCCCGGCAGCTCGGCTGCTCGAGCTCAAGAACGTGCTGCTCGAGCCCTTGGCCGAAGCGCTCGCCCCGTTCGCGTCGACCCAGAAACAGCCTTTCGTAGTTGAGCTGCCGATTGGCGTCTTCAGCGACCTTGTTGATTTCAGCGGCTTTGCAAGGGAGGTGCGCGAACACCGCTTTGCTGAAGGGTGGGCATGGCTGCGATACCCGATACGATGCAGCGACAAGGAGTTGTTCTATTACATCAAGCAGGGCACGGAGAGTGGTCTGTACTGGGATCATCAGGACAGACCTCGGACCTATGGAGATACCTGGGGTCACCTCGTTCTCAGCTGAGAGGCTGCGGTTGGCTTGGCTCATGCCTTCCTCTGTTCATATCTTCTCTCCTCCTCGGCTCAACCAGCTGCGCCCCCCATATGAACGACAGCATACTGTGGTAACGCACTCTGAACAGGATGCATATCAACTTATGCGATGTTCAAAATTCATCACGGTAGACGCATCTCCCACGACATACTTGAGCACAGGAAGACCCTACATTGCGCACTCTAATCCCGAAAGTCGCTGTAATAGGCCTTCTAGTTGAAAAGACTCTGAATAAGTGCCTATAGTATAGTGTTCAGGTAGATTCATTTGATTAAGAGAATAGCGACATGAATTCAGAGCGAGCACAGGCATTGGAGCGGTTGCCTTCCACCTCCCACTCAGCGTATGACAGCTGCTTATGAAACGTTGCCACAGTGACTCAGTCCAGTGGACTGGCTTCCTGTTGAATTCAATGCAGTTAGATTCCTTGGTAAAATTCGTGTAGGTGGAATACAAGGCGGGTTGCACTCTTGTAGATGCTCCTCTTCCCCATTATACTATCACTTGCGTACGGCGGCTCATGTTCCCGGCTGCTCGGGGACTTGCATTCACACCTAGACAAATCAAATTACCCGCAGTTACATGGACATCCCGAAGGAAAGCCTCGTTCAAAGCCTCTTGATTCGTACACACACCGTGCGCATCAGGCTAAGTACTTGGCAATTGATATCTCGGGGGCTGGAGTCTGCCTTGTACCATGCCTTGGACCGAAACATAGCCTATTGACGGCGTGATCACCGACGCCAGATTGCCGCGTGATTTCTAGCACATTTAGTGGGTATTTTACGTTGCCATACTTCATGTTTGGCAAATATCCAAGACGCCGCCTGTGCCCCCTCTTTCATTGAGAGGCTCAGCCCCAGCCGCAGCAGTGGTGCGGACGTCACTTTTGGGGAGACAGACTTTTCACACAGCCACCTTGCTGGCAAATTTCAGGCATGTGCAATTTTCGCCGCCGGACCTCACTTTTCTAAGCACATGCTATATTGGAGAGGTACTGGTATGAGTTATAGATCCCGGAGCGAGTGTTTCTTAAAATATTATCTCCCGCGCTACGAAGAATACGAAACTGAACGAAGTCTATCTTCAATCGGGATACAACAGTCATCCAATTAATATTTGCTATCTCTAATACGAGGCTGAGTACCGCACGTACTCATCGACTTCGAGATGGGGTCTCTTCTAGATCACTTTTTGAGCAATGATTTTCCTTATCAAGCCGATGATATTGAAGCCTTTTGGTCAAGCTTTCTGGGGCTTGCCAAAGGCCTCGAAACTACGCAGGAACAACCTAACGGCGGGTACGCATATATGATGACCCCCGTACAAGCTCACCACTAACCATGATTGTTCACTAGGCTCCATGGGGATCTCAAACCGTCAAATATTCTTCTCTTTCCACAGAGGAATGCCGCTGATAGCAAGCACTCCTTCATGCTCACAATTGCGGACTTTGATAGCAGTCGCATTGGCTCGATCTATAAATCTCCAGATGGCAGCGCCAATCTCCGCCCGAGGAGCACTCGGACGTACGGTGTGTTGACAGTGCCTTTGACTATTCGTAACGTTAGGATTATTCTGCTTGCTAACATTGGTATCAATAAGCTGCCCCTGAGGCCTATTTAATCGGAAATTTTAGACATGTAGCGAATCAATCAGGTGATATGTGGTCTTTTGGATGTATCTTGATGGAAGTGGCTGTGTGGATCACAGGAGGGTTCAAAGCACTTGAAAAATTCAAAGTGGCCCGTGTGGAAGAGACTTCCAAGATACCGGACTTTCGTGACACTGGGAACTGTGACTGCTTTCATGAAGGATATGATCTTTTACCAGCCGTCAAAGAATGGGCTCGGATCGTCCAAGAGAATGCCCGACGCAACGACAACATCACACCGAGGATGGTAGATTTTATTTCGAACAGTCTGCTGCGACCGGAAGGTTTTAGATGTTCCCCTCGAAACCTAGAGGCCAACATGAGAGAAATTATTTCCTCAACTAAGGTCGTGGCTCAAGCATATTATAGCAGGATCGAGCAGCATCCCCCGTCGCCTAGCTCTGTTGGTTCTATGCCTCCTACCATCATGAGGCCACTAATGATCCAGCCAGTTTTATCAATCCAAACGTCGCCTCAACAAAATCCATCAGAATTGATGGGATCTCCCGTCACGCCAATGTCACCATCTATTCACTATCAGCTCGGACCAACAGATAACACCGTGATTCAGCGTACCCTAACAGATCCTGCCGTCGAACTGGTGAGGAATAACACGACCAGCCCTTATCCGAAGGTCAGTTTGAGGGAACTGGCCTTGTGGAGGGGCAATAAGAAAAAATATAGACCAGAGCTGCCGGGTTGGAAAGAAGCACAGAACTTACTGAGAGGCCGCGATTTCGTACGTCCTGTTTGATCATTCCACTTGTTCTTTCTTCTTTACTACATATATGTAAGTTTCTGTAAATACTGGGGCTGACTCATTTACGAAACTAGCTCTTCATCATCGATAATTCCAGGTCAATGTTCGAGCACCAAGCAGCTGTCATCGAAGCCGTCGACAACCTGGCTTACCTTGTGAAGCAGCTTGATCCCGATGGCGGCGAGATTAGGTGGACGTCTAGTCCCCAGACAAAGGAAAGTTTCTCCAACAGCACCCAAGCTGGAGATTCTGCGAGAAGGGCATTCGCGGAAAGAAGCCAGGTCGACTGTAACATTGAGGGAGCTCTCATGGAGGCTTTACCAACCAAGTTCCGCTCCGGATCGATGGCTAGCGGGAGTTCTTGGGGGATTAGATCGGGACTTAGTCGCATCCGCTCTAACTCCTCAGCAAAACGCCTCAGTGTCTTAGTATTCACAGACGGTGTTTGGGTTCCTTCAGATGGAGGACTATGTGGAGCGGAGCGCCCGATTGAGCACCTGATTCAGCAAATGAAAAGCCAAGGTGTCCAGCGGTCAGGCATCGCTGTGCAGTTCTTACGATTTGGTTCTGATCCCGCTGGGATCGGACGACTAGACTATCTGGATAATGAGTTGGCTAAGAAGCCAGAGAACCAGGGATTGTTCGTGTTCCCCCCTTCATTCTATTCTGTGTCCTTACTCTCCCAGCTGACTTCAAATAGCGATATTGTAGACCATAAGTCTGAGCAGGACAGTGTTTGGGGAATATTGATAGGGTCGGTTTTTGAAGCAATGGATCACCTTGGCTAACTTAGCGGAAATGGAACGGTTAGCATTGTAGTTCTGCGGCATCAAGGTTGAACAAAAAGATGAGTAGTATCTATCGATTAACACTCGTGATTGAGGGAACTCGGCACAAAAAAGGATTAGACTTGCGCAATAACGGTAGAAGGATCCAGCGCATTCACGTCAAGTACTTTCTTTATTGTGACTTCCCTCGCGATATCAACATAATATAGGTAGCAGTGCCGACCATACAAAACTTTTCCAAAATTCCCTAACTATAGCCAGAACCCAGCCATTCCACAGTCCAAGATTCTCGTGTTGTGCTCTAATCAAGTTTCAATTTCCAACAGACCTTTCAAGCTGAGAACCGGGTAGTGCTCCATGCCTGATTAATAGATCCCTTATTTCAACATCCCTCGTACGATCAAGAACATTTTTGCCATTCTGGTTGGTAGCGTTAATCTTCGCACCCTTGCTTAGAAGATACATGAACAACCAAGAATTACCAGGTATGGAACCAGGTGTGAGGCTAAGATCCAACAAAGTTCTACCTCTATAGTTATGCTCATCAATATCAAGCCCATATCCCAGAAGAAACTCAAAATCCTTTTCCATCTTTTCAGAACCAGAATCTGCCATCTTCATGATGAGAGCACAAGACGTCAATAGAGATGGACATCGATGCAGGAAATCGACAACGTTTATTGGATCACCGCGATCCCGGGCAGAGGAAGTGTATATCTTCACCATCTTTTCAAACGAATCATGGCACAACCACGCTTCAGGCAGTGGACGAAGAGCCATTGAACCGCTCTCGGATATGAAATCGGGGTCCGCGTGGGCCTTGATTAGTATAGCGACTTTCTCGATTGCACTGCGGTGCTCCTGTGGGCGGTCATGCTCGTCAACTCCTGGATCCGAACATGTCCCGCTCGTAGCCCAGTGAAGTGCGGTTTGGCCCCTGTTACCCGTTGCATTCACATCCGCTCCACGGTCGATCAAGAGTTGTACGACCGAAGGGTAGGAATGAGCGGTTGCTATGTGAAGTGGCGTATCGCCTCGTTTGTTTCGAGAATCGAGGCTTGCGCCATGATCGAGCAACAACTTGGTTATTTCCAGGCAAAGGGCCTCTTCCCCAGGTTTGCCCGCCATCTCTTGGGAATCACGAAGCCAAAACATCAAAGAGGTGTCTCCGCTATCCAGGTCCTGCTGATCGATATCCTGGATCATGGAAAGCAGATCCTTGACAACTCCAATCGTATTTGTTAAAATTTTGACAAGTCGAAGAGCATGCATCAAAAGTGGCATTCTTTCAACGGTCTGGTTGACATCAAGTCCGTGATTGATCAAGACAGACAGCATTTCAGAGCTGCGGGGACTTTTAAAGCAACCTGCACGAAGGCACTTCCGGTGCAAAGGATATTGTCCATTTTTGAGAGGCCCGAAAAGGCTGAGAATATATTCCGTCATGAGAAACTGATCGGAAATGATAGATTCAAGGATAGAGGGTAAAAGTTCCTCGTATGGCAAAGAAGATAGGTCATTGTTTCGAAGGACGCGAACATGGTCTATCAACAACTGGGAGATTTTCAACGTGAGGAATCTTGTCTGGCTTTTATTCCGCCGATGGAGAGGTTGGCAGGCACTTGCCAGAATTTCATCAATCACAACATCTGTGAAACACTCCTCGGGGCAAAGTTCGAGAATTCTCGGAAAAGCTCCGACGGCAGTTGATTCTGCCATTTCAAACAGTGTGTCCTGCCAGTTTTCAAGCAACTGTTCGGGTTCGGGTTCCCCAAGGTATGTCTCGAAGATCCCTTCTTGAATGAAGATATCTAACACGTCTGGACGATCGTACTTTGCAATGATGCGCAAGCACCCTGCGGGTCCCGCCATTTTGGCCTTCCGCGAGAGAATCTCCTTTACCACGGCGACGCGAGCTGACGCGGAGTCGTGAGAAATGGCTAGCTCAAAGGCCGTTGAGCTGCGGCGATTTAATGGCTCTTTTTGGGACATCAGGTCGGCACCCATATCAAGGAACCGTTGTACAAGTTTCAAATGCCCATTTTCGCAAGCGTGATGAAGTACTGTCTTGAAGTCAGAATCAAAGATATCCACCTTTATACCTTGAAGCTTGGTAATGTATTCGATGAGTGCCGCATGATTCATGGCGACGGCAGCAAAGATGGGACTGTCGTGTGAGACACCGGCCGCGACCTTTTCATCAATCTCCTTCCATTTTAAGAGCATCCACGCGAATTCATAGTGTTGATGTCTGATCGCGACTCCAACATGGGAGACCTGGCAAAGATCCGGTGTAATTTCCCTTACCGCTTGAGCGGTTCCTTGTAAGCCGTTCCGGGCTGCCCATTGCATAGCAGATCGTTCGGTCCAGGTATTTTTTGGTTTCCTCCTCCTCGACGGCTCACTACCGGGCGGTGGAGGGAGCGAAGATATCTCGATCATTCGCTTGTTGAACTTGTAGAGGTGTCCAATGAAGATTTGGAATAGTTCTCTGCAACTAAGCATCACGTTGAGCAAGTCTTGTGCTGTGGAAGCGACCACGTTTTCCGAGAGAATTTCCCCAATCTCGTCCCATAGCTCAACGGGAAGTTGGGGGGTGTTGAGTGGTCGGATGTCGAGAGAAGAGTCGGAGTCTTGCTCTCCTGGCGGGAGGGATAGTCGGACTCGGCTATGCATTGGGAAGGCTAGGCTTGTCGCGTTCAAGCGTTGGCTATATCTGACAAGACGATGTGGTGCAATGAGTGTCAAGATTTACGAGAGGTACGCTTTTGGAGGAGGCAAGGTGTGGCAAGAGCAAAGGCCACGCTTAAATAGGTCGATACCAACATTGACCATTGGTCAAAAGTAGAAAAGCGAGTGAAAGGGTCTCTGTTGTGAAACTGCTTGCTCGTGAATCAAGAACAATGGCCGTGCGGCTACCTTTGTTCCACGCGTTGCCTCATACAGCTTTCCTGATGATTTACAGACGCTGCGGCAATCCAGTCCGCCCATTTTACCTCGAGTCGAATGATGGATGCTCAAACCTTTGGTCTGAGCTACCGGCATGGCCCAGGGAGGCTCCGTGCGCCCTGGCTGAACTTAACTTGAGCCAAAAGGGCGGTGTTGATGTAACCAGACAGGTTGAACTTGCCTAAACGAACAAGAGACGTTGATTTTCGAATCAGACTCCGCTTGGACGTCTTTTTTCCAAGGGAACGGCTCCTGCAGCTAGCAAATACTGCCATCTCCAATACCAGCAAAGTGAATATCGCCGAAGTGGTACTACCGGCGTTATAAAGCGGTAATCAGAGCCTCCTGCGTGCCGAACCGATGGGATGCAATGCAACAATAGGATTGCAGAGCTCTGCTCAACTCATGTCCATGTCAGAAGTTACGCTAGTAATGCCTGCGGGATCCATCGAGTGACCATCGACTCATTCATGACTACAGGACAAAGTCGTTCGGCGGGGCCAAAGTATAGCCAACCTTCAGCTCGTTCTTAACACTCTTGACAAATGTCAGCAACCTTGGAATAGACACCGGCTTGGACACATCTTCGATCAACGGAGATACAACTGTCTAACAAATCAAGGGTTTAACGCTACCAGCTTACAGAGCCTAGGCCAGGATTGCATCATCAAAGATAATGTAAGCTTAATTGCCTACGAGCCCAATAGAGCGCTTTGAAGATGCCTAAAGAGAGCTCTGCCATACTCGTTCTAACCCTTGCGGTCCTTGTAAATGTGACTTTCCTGACGAGAGGGTGGGTTTGCGGGCTTCCAGAGGCGAGGTGTGTTCCCCTTGATGGTAGTGAGGACATAGGGGGAAGCTGACCTCGCACTGGCAGCTGGCTGACGTGAAACAACCTCCAGACATCTCAATACGGGCTCTGGATAGAAAATGGTGTCGGCCTAGAAGTCTTACGCACATGTAGCCTGGCATCTGTATACATAGTGTGAATCTAAACACATACTGTCACGAATCAGCGTCTGACTCAGAGGGGCCCTGCAATTGAAGAAATAAAGTATTCGATTCGGGCCATTTATCAATTGCCTCTCCCATGTCATCATCGTGCAGGCACTGGGCATTCGGTTGGCTGGTCTGGCGGTGCGACCTGCAGCGAGGCAGCCAAACACTGCTGCTCACGTGGCTTCTGATCCCGGAGACATGCAAAGGCAAAAGGCAATAAGGCACCAACGCCGTTCTACCTCGTCTCATCTCATCGTGGTCTGCACATCCCTGCAGGCAGCACTCATCGCCCATGATCCATCAACGCCTCACCTGCTCTGCGCATCAATTATCAATCTCTCCCCTGCCATCCGCCCTTCGCCAGCCTCTTCCTTCTAAGAGGGTACCTGCACGATGATAACCGCCGCGAGTCCCGAGATCCTCCACATCAACCCCAACCCGTGGCACATCCCGCGGCCCAAGAAACTCACCTTCATGCATCTGCCGCGCGAGGTGAGACTCCGGATCTACGAGTTCGTCCTCGTCGAAATCCCCCGATGGGACAAGAAGCACCACCTCAAATGCCGCTGCCGCCCGCGCCTGGACTCGGACGACACCGAGCACCCGCCCTTCCTCCAGAGCATGGTCAAGATCACGCCGGTCCCAGCCAAGTTTCACATCACCACAACCACGCGGTGCGACTGTGCCAAGCGCAAGGGCCTCTCCCTCCTCCTCGCGTCCAGGGAAGTCAACCAGTCTGCCTCGCCCATCTTCTGGTCCCTCAACACCTTCTGCTTCCTCGACTCGATGGAGTTCCTCGCCACCGTCGGCCACAGACTCCGACCCCAGCACCAGCAGTGCATCCAGTCCGTCAGCTTCATGAGTCCCGATGCGAGGGGAATGCCGCGCCACGTCAGACTGTACGGCCACCGGAGGAAGCACATCGAGCCGTTCTGGCAGGCCATGAGGAAATGCACTCGTCTCCGCCACCTCGAACTGCCCGCCTGGTACATCAATCCTGCGCGCTTCAACGTGCATCGCAGCAACCAGCTCGCGAAAGCCCTACCCAACCTGCAGTCGCTCGAGATCAGCCATCTGCTCCCGTACAGCAACAAGGCTCATTCCTGGGGCTACCCGTCGCCGTGGTACAAGCAGCCAGAGGAACGGACCTTCTACGTGCGCTGCTCCAGGCGAGTTCCCCTCGTGAGGGACGGATCGTGGACAAACCAGGCCGCAAAGGACCTCTTCCGGGAGCTGCAGCACAATTTCCGCGTGCACGTCGACACGGCCGTCAAGACGAAGCTGCTGGGGGCGACGATAGATGGCCTGGAGGAGTACAGGACCACATTCAGGCTCCCGAGACAGCTGGATGAGCACAACTGCGTGCGCCGCATCACGCTGCCGTCGGGGGAGACGACGACGATTCGGTTCTATGGCCTGCGAACCAGCAACCAGACCAGACTTCGCGTCGTTCGGGAGAAGAAGGCGCTGGATCAGAAGCAAAAGCTGAAGAATAATCGCACGCATGCGCAGCAGGAGGCGATGGACAGGGAAAAGCAGCGCAAGTGGCAAAAACGCCGATTTGATGAAGACTTTGAACGTCGGAAGCATGACTTAGACCTGAGGCAACGGGATAGCCGGCTGGAGCTACTGAAGGAGGAAAAAGAAAAGCAGTCCAGGAGACTGGCGAGGGCTGTCAAAAGAGCCGAGGACAAAAGAAAAGGCCTTCATCAATCTGAGAGAAAGAGAATCATTCACATCAACAATTACTAAAGAAGCAAAAAATCATCTTGTTCAGAGTACATACTGGGTCTCTGTCATTTGGCTCATTTCTACAGTCTGCTTAGTTGTGATGCCATTTAGTCTTGAGACATTCTATCACTGTCTAAAATAGAAATCTTTCATTCTTGAGCCTATCCGACTGCTTCCCTTCCCATGATGTCTCCATAGCCTGATATTTCCATCGACGGTGTAACAAGAAAAACGAAAGACCTTGACATCCTCCGCTGTGTATTGATGCTCATTGCTAGGCAATCCCCCCCCTCAAGCTCTGAAGACTCCATCTCGAAGAGCGACTTTTGCCATCAAGATCCTTGCCTCCGCATTCAAGACTGCGTCCCAATGACGCTTTGTGTTCCGCCCAATTATTCAACGACAGTGCTAGCTCTTGCAGTCATGGGCTCTCGAACATGAACAGGGGACACTCCTCCTGGTGTAACATACACACCGTCCCTTGTTGGATTGGGCAATATGACAGTCGTCGTGGTCGAAGCAGACGAGCTGGAACTCGAGCTTGAGCTTGCGCTTGTGGGGGTGCGAGAGTGATAGTGGCATAATAGCAGTCGGCTGCGCTGGATGATAGTCCATCCAAATACTCCGAGGAGGAGAACGGCAATCGCAACAAAAAGGACCACCACAATGACCGCAATCACCGAGTTTTCCGTCATGCTGGCCTTATAATAGGAAAGCGAGGCTTGTAAGAGTACGAAGAGTGTGATGCTAGGTCAATGGAGCCGGATGGGCCGCAAACGGTGACTGGTGGCGATGAGGATGGTTGGTGAAGCGCTCTCGCTTGGAGCGCAATTGACGTGGAAACAAGGGGAGAAAACTGAAAAGTGCGATGACCTGAGACCAGAGAGGGGACTCGTGTTTTTCTACGCACTCGGGGGGAAGCGAGGACATAAATCCACGTACCATCCGTTTCTCGTGGCTACACAAACGGCCCCCTGCATAGAGCAGAAGTATCAATACGGCCTCAATATCGGATTAGTCAAAGCAAGTCAATCTAACACTCGATTATTCTCTCTTCGCCTCTAACCATGCGAAGATATGCTATTGTTTTCTCTGGTTAGACCTCGAGCTTGGCGATTCCGACGTTGTTATACGTTGCGGCTCGTTGGAGCAGCACGTTGGGTAGGTGAGACATGACACATGCGTGGAGATGCAAAAGTTGGGACGCCTACGATGCGGAATTAATGGAATATTCTTCATAAGTTAGTTCTCACATGATGAGGATACATGCGGCCCCGGCGATCCTGTATTGAGACGCTGGCGCAAGGAAAGTCTATGAAAAAAAATCTTTGATAAATAGGGATGTTGACTTTATGTTCGCCAATTATAACCATTTATGGCCTCGTATTGTAGGATATTCCACAGCCATGGCGTCATGATCGTTACCGTAGATAACCTTGTGATACCAGAGAAGCTTTTCGGACAAGGCCTCGCAATTTGCACAGCCTATTCCACAGTTGCAGATTTGATACTTTGGCTGGTTGTTCCAATTACTTCAGGCTTCTTCCATGTAACTACTCTGCTCATTGTCCCAGAGTCCAGGGATGTTGCATCCATATAATCATTCCTTCTACTCTTCACAAAATGGTAGCGATGACTACCACCACAACATAGAACAAGCTTCCTCCACCACTCCGTCATCCGGGACGTTGTACTCTTGATACCATTTGAGTAAGTCGACAACACTACTGAACATTTCCGTCCCGAACTGTCCCTTATTGATGTGATAGAACCAGCCGGCCTCATCTTCGAGTTTTTGGCGGCCATATATAATGTGACAGCAACCTTCAGGTGCAGATCCGCATTTCCAACCAGCTACCACATGCTCAAAGTCGGGGTAACGGCCGCCTAGATAGGCATTATTCCTCTTCAACCCGTCATCGGAAAGTACAGCTTTCTTAGCTTGATCAAAGTCAAGAAAACCGGTAAAGAACACAACTTGGCGGCCTTGTTCTTTCTCCTCGTACCATTTATGCCCCTCTAGTGTATCTGCATGGGCGAGAAGAACAATAAAGTCCCTAGGAAGGTCCAAAGCGGCAGCCTCGCCGCCTAGGGCCTGCAAACCGTCGCGAAGCCCACGAATATAGTCGTTCATCAGCTCCGACCTCTTCTCCAAGTCTCGGTCATCGAACGCAGCCCCATTAAGTCCGCTCCGCTTGGAGTACACGTCCCAGCGCGTGAGAACATCCTCGGGCCGAGTGATTAGCTCGCTCCCTCTTCCTCCGAGTTTTCGAAGTGTCCAGTCAAGACGGAGTTCTGCGATTTCTCCATCGGTTTCTTCTATATGCTCTGCACGTTCATCTTCGGGATATTCTTCGAGATATTCTGGCAGATACTCTTCTGTCGCGGCATATTCGACCAGCCTTTTGACGGCGGAGTGATTATGTTTCGTCACACAATCTTTGTATTTAGTGAGGGCTTGGAGGATCTCTGTCTCCATATTTGGCTCAATTCTATTTCAGCTTTCGACCTGTATCGTAGTTAGAACTAGAACCCAATATTCAGAGCTGAGCAATTGAGGGCTACTTGAAGCTTGTTGTGCCGAGGTCTTGCTGGAGTTTTGGAAAATGTATCGCTGCTACGGAAGGTGGACATTCACTCTCGGATTTTCCTCCAGCGAAGTCCTGGATGATTCAAGGGCAAACGCACCGAATGACACAAGAGACGAGAGAAATGGTTGCGGAGAGAAGATGGCCCACTACTTTGGAAGGGCGGCTGCTGTTACTAGTATCACGTTTTCATTGGAAGGCGCATTTCTTACTCAAACCATCTTAGCTGACAGTTCATGGGTGCCCAGTACGGGTATTCAGCGGGACTTTCAGTGAATTTCAGTGGGCGGTAGGGGTGGCTTGTCGCAACTGTCAGCTTCTAGCCACTATTCTCTCTACATCGCAGAGCCGATCATATCCGACGTGAGGACTACGCGACCCAAGTTCTGGGCCATGATTAACCTCACATGATCCAATTACTATAGCCAAATCATACTATTAGGCACATGTATTGTGAAGGCAAAATAATTACCGCGCTATGGGCTACTTTTGGCCCCCTCCTTGTCACCACTCTTTGGCTTGTCTCTTATCGCAAGCACCCTCTCCTCGAACCCTCCCACGACTTGAGACGAGGCTTGAGTCTTGGAAGCCAGATCTCGCTTGGGGGCTTTGAGAAACACCTCAGACAGTCGTTCATCTAGCCATCGGACATCATCCATATTTCCTGGCGGTCCGCCTGCCCAGTGGCCCCAAATAGAGGGAAACACATCCAGCTTCCCGACTTGGCTCATGCACGAGACTTCATATTCGGAATCTTCAGGTCTATGATGATGTGTCAGTACGAAAGAGACCGAGGGACCCTCCTCCTGTATCTCGTTAAACTCACGGGAAATATAGATCAGTTTTCGAAGGGAGGACCAAAGTCTGAGCCTTGATGCTCCCCAGCGCCTTTTCAAAATCGCCGTTGAAAGGTTCCTGTTTGCTGACATCACCAGCCTGCCATGTATGCAGCATCACAAGTAGATTCTCCGGGTCTTTGCTCAGTGCCCATTTCTCCCAGAAATTGACCATGAAGTCCTCCAAGCTCTTCTCACCATACGCCTTCTTGTGTAGCTCCTCCCTGTAGAAAGCTTGGGAAAACCCCCACCCCGCATATCCTCTCCCAAAAGCTCGCAGTCCCACCTGTTTCTCTTCATCCGTCCACGGCGACATGTCCTTGGTTGTCGCTCCGCGGGTACTACCAGCGGATGAAAGGCCCTTGGCGGCCAGTAATGCCGACTTAACGCCTTCAAGGAATACTTGATTGTGGAGCGAGGTCTTTGCTGAGCCGCAGAATGGGACGCAGATATCCATAAAATCAGGGAACTGCGTGGCCCATTGGAATGCCTGCGCCGCGCCCATGGACCAACCAAGAACGGCACGCAAATGCTTGATCCCGAGACCCTTGACCAGTTCATGCTGGGCCTGTACGTTGTCATAAAATGTCACGTCTGGGAACGGACGGATGCCTGAATTAGAGGGGCTAATGGACTGGCCATTGCCAAATATCGCAGGAATGATGATGAAGTATTTGGCCGGGTCGAGGGTCATGTTCTCCCCCACGAGCCACTCATTGTCAGAGATGAGCCCGGAGAACCAGGTAGGGTAGAGGACGGCGGGAGACGCGGGGTCACCGAATGTCTTGTATGCGATCCAAGCATCCTTGAGCACACCTCCTCCCTGGAGAGCAAAGTCGCCGAGCACGAATTTCTTAACCTCACTCATGGCTTTGAGAAGACTCGACGGTGGCTCTGCGGGTGTGTATGAGGTCGTGGAATAAAACAGCGGCCAAGAAATAGAGCACAAAGAGAGAAACGATAGCCGTATATACCCGATTACTCAATGCCGGATGCTAAGCCGATCCGAAGGTCGCCATGTGACTTTTTTTTTATTACCTTTACGGCATGCAAAACAAAGCCTTTCCCCAGTAAGATAACGCAGCCGTTTATTCGTGGAAGCGTCTATCAGCTGAGTCGATAAGTCGTATCGGAACGGGTAACCCCTCTTTCTAGCAGCGAGATGAGGAGGATTACCAATGAGATGTGACATCACCAGCATGCGAGAGGAGATAGCCCGCTTCTACCCACATCTCCGCGTCCAATCACCAAATTTGTATGTATGTGTCACGACTTCCTTATCGCGGGCACAGCTGCCGGACCTCCGAGGGAGTCTTTATAAGGTGAGTGCGGGGGTCAACGCCAGTATTGTCATTACGAACCAGTCTCATTGCAAGAGCCTGCTTTGATTGACCTTGTCTCAGAGTCGACACCATCTCTCCTCGTTGACACGATGCCCGGAAAACTCAGAACCGCTCTTCAAGTCGATTTAGACAAACCTGCCTCAGAGCAGCGTTCCCTCCATGTAAGTGGGAATACGCTCAGGCTAATGCGGTTTGAAGTCTAAGTAGCTAATGTTCGTGCAGAACCGGTGGCACCCAGATAGTCAGAACCCATTTAATCTTCCTCAGGCGTGCCGTATATTGGAATATCAGATACTAATTGGTTGATTAGTCCCGAGCTGCGCAACGGTCGGTGACGGAGAAACCGTCAAAATTGAATGTCTCGATTGGACTGGTGGTCAAATTGGCAACAATGACTCTGCCGACGATGTGAAGAACGTCGACCTGAGTCGTATTCACTATCTCTCTGGGCCCTTTGAAATCACCGGCGCGGAGCCAGGTGACGTCCTCCGCGTCGAGATTGAGGACGTCCAGCCTCTCGAGGAGCAGCCGTGGGGATTCACCGGCGTGTTTCACAAGGAGAACGGAGGCGGGTTCCTGGACGAGCTCTACCCTCATGCGTATGTCAGACCCGAGAATTGACGCTCTGATGATTTAAACTGACCATTCTCCTCTATCAGGGCCAAGGCAATCTGGGATTTCGAGGGCATATCCTGCACGTCGCGACACATCCCAGGCGTCAAGTTCGCCGGCCTCATCCATCCTGGTATTCTCGGCTGCGCCCCCTCTCATGAGATCCTGGCCGAGTGGAATCGACGCGAGGGAGAGCTTGTCCAGGCGAATACGCTTTCGCGCACGGTGGCCAATCTCCCCCTTGAGCTCAACGCTCACGCCGGTCTGGCGGATGAGGAGATTGCCCACAAGGTGGCCAAGGAAGGGGCACGAACAATCCCCGGCCGGCCGGAGCATGGAGGCAACTGCGACATCAAGAACTTGTCCAGGGGAAGCAAGGTTTACCTGCCGGTGCATGTGCCGGGGGCCAAGTTCAGTGTTGGCGACCTGCATTTCTCCCGTGAGTGTCCTTCCTGTTCACGCAAAGAACGAAACGGGTTCTGACGACTGTTCGATTCATCTAGAGGGCGACGGAGAGATCTCTTTCTGCGGTGCTATCGAGATGGCTGGCACTATCACTCTAAACTTCAAAGTGATCAAGGGGGGCCAGGCACAGATGGGAATGGTCAATGGCCGCTCTCCATTATACATCCCAGGTCCCGTGCAACCACAGTTCGGGCCATCTAGGATGATATTCTTCGAGGTAAGACCATACGCATCTTCTAAGATTGGCCCTTAAGTGTGGCGTGCTGACAACGGTTGGGCTAGGGGTTTTCGGTTGATGAGCACGGCAAACAACACTATCTGGATACCACAATCGCCTACCGCCAGAGTTGCCTTCGTGTAATTGAATACCTCCGAAGGTATGGATACACGGACTATCAGATCTACCTGCTTCTCAGTGCGGCTCCGATTGAAGGGCATGTTGCCGGCATAGTTGATGTGAGTCGCTACTTTTCACAATACCAAAGGTTTCATGAGCTTATCCTGTGTCCGCAGATTCCAAATTCATGCACTACTATTGGGCTTCCTATGGATATATTTTCCTTCGATATTCGTCCAGAGACAGCTCCCCAGCGGCACATTGCTGAGTCCGACGCTTGCCCCGTCTCGCCATGATGACAAGGAACGATAATACATAGGCGAAGAGCAATGGTATTTTATTGATGTTTAAGACTGCGAGATCTAAATCTTCTCTAAAGGCTTACTCTTACCACTAGGGTGTAACTCAATGTATCATCGTCTCAAGCTAGTCGGTCAACAGATACACTATGATAAACCGGCAGCAACAACTGCTCCAACTCCGAATGCACTCGCAATCGTAATCATGCTCGATGTGGAAAGCAGAGAGATCCCGCTGATTCCATGACCTGATGTGCACCCTCCAGCTGTCCTGGCACCAACGACCATCAGGAATGCTCCCAGTGTGGCAAGGAGCGGTGACGTTTCAACCACAACTTCTCCAACCAACGTAGGGGCTGCCTTAGCCAGGAGCCATACCCCAGAAAACATTCCCGTTGCAAATAGAGTGTTCCGTAAGGAGGCAGGCTTTAAACTGGCTTTGAAGCCGCTGAGAATCCACCAGAAGAGCTGGCCTGCTTCGTCGTAGAAGGACGAGACGCCAACCATCGACCGCCGGGTCAAAATGGAGAAGGCCTGCGCCGAACCAATAAGAAGACCCCCAACTGCCCCAAGGAGCCTCGGTTCTGGGGCGGCAGGCGTGTAAAGAGTTGTGAGCACAATGATGGAGGTGAAGACCGCCTCCAAGGCGACCAACGTTGCAGTTCTCGAAAGCCCGAGATGATCCCCGACAGGAACAGCATCCGACTTCAGCTCGGCATCCTTGGCTGTCTTATTGATCAGCTTGCCCAGAAATCCAGTCCAAGCAATGCCGCCGAGTATTGCGCCACTCAAAGAGAACACGCTCGTGCCAACACCCGCTCCGGCTTGGATGATGAGTGTTCCCGGACAAGAGGCTGACAATGCCATGCCTGCTCCAAGCAGACCGCCACCGACAATATTGCCATCATACTTGGCAAACAGTCCCAGTGGAGAGTTTGGCCGGGGCTTCAGATGAGCGTAGTTGAATTTTTCCGCAATGGTGTACACGATCCTGCATAGTTGTCAGTGGTTTGAGCCAGACACCGGGGTGGTTCACCGGACACAAAGTTTGTCAACGCGGTGGGAGAATCGTAACGCACGCGCTAGTGGCTGTTGCCGTGAGGAAAGCCTGAATCATGTGAAAATTCTCAAACTTGAGCTGGGCGACGATGACGGACGGGTGGTGGAAGCCAGCAGCGAACATGGCAGCCCCGAAGGCAGCACCAGAAACGAAGGACGCCATTGCTGCTCACGTTCACCTACAAATCAGTATAGGCTCTAAGGTTGTTGAGTTTGACAGAGACAAGGCTAACGGGGCCTTATTTAACTACAAACTGTATTACAAATAGCGACTAAGGGGTCGATCCTCGCCGACCAGCCAAGCTTGGGACCCGTAATGGTCGCCGACCACTGAGTCCGACGGATTGGATTGCGTAACCTTGGCCAAAGAATGATTGTAGGCATTAGGTTTTACTTGCTGGTGAGTGATGTGATCACGCCATATTCAGCCTTTATTGTGAATTGGTCACAGCCAGTTACATGTGCCTCAGCGGCCGTATCGTCAGACGGGCATGCTTGAAATGCAGACAATCCCATGTTATTGCCCACGTGGTCTACCATTCGAATTCTTCCCCATGACAATACAGTTTCAATTTTAATAGCCTTCTGAACCCGAATAAATGGCAGGTTTGACATTTTTGAGGATACAAGACTTTACTGAAACCAGGATAGCTCCATTAGCGTTCCCCTCACGACTCCCAACTCGTTCTAAAAACCCGGAGATGTATTCCGTCGATCTTAGCGCCCAGCCACGAAGTCAAAAGCGTATATAGTGTTCACGGGCTAATGCATCTTTCCGTCACGGATATCAAGGCATCCATGTAGCTAAAGGTTTGGAATATGAATAACGACGTGTACCTACCAGGAAGGCATCTATTCAGCTGGCCACTGAAATAAAAAGACACAAAGCCAAAGAACATATACCGAATCATCTGAAAAAGGCTTCTGGAAGACAGCCTGGAAAATCAACAGCACTAACTGGTTCGTAACAACACTACGTGCTTGTCTTGACCTTGGCTAACAATACGTGGTACTGCATAGCATTATTTTGTCTTGAATCTTGAAATCGAAAGGCAGTAAATGATGGAACCCGCAAAAAGCAGTGTCACAAGAGCACAGAAGCAGGTACGTTTTGGGTAACATGTATTCATGATTCGTCAGAGTTCTATTTCTCCAGAGTAGAGTAAATCCAGGAATCGCCGTTCCAATGTCCCTATTAGTTCTATAAGATGCCCCCCAAAGATTAGGATATATACCATTCTATACAAAGCCCGAACAAAAGGAAAACTTCTAGCAGTTCAATCAGAATACAACAAGGAACTTGAATCCAGTGCGGTGGATCCTGGCGATGAGGATGAGCGTCGTTCCGGCAAGACACATGATGCCGGAGAAGACCTTGATGCCGGTGAAGCCAAGAGGAGCCTCGAGGATTGCGCCGTTGATGGGGTTGGTGGTGAGACCGCCGATCGAGGAGATGAGGAAGACAATGCCGGTGCGGAAGCCGATCTCTGGCAGGGGGGAGATCTGCATTACGAGGGGGGCGATGAGAGAGACGTAAGCGCCCGAGCAGAAACCAAACAGGACGGCGAAGGCGATGAGGGCGCTGTTGCTGGTATCGGGAATCCATAAAGCGAGAATCCAGATGGCTGATAGGTAACAGACGACCACGAAGATGTTGTATCGACCAATCTTGTCACCCATGAATCCGGAAAACAGACGACCGAAGAGAGAGGCGGCGTTGAGGATGGGGATGAGGTACTGAGCGAGGTCGTTGCTCATTCCGGCGGCGAGAGCTTGAACGGGGAGATAATTGATAGGGACGAAGATGCCGTAAGTGAAGCAGAAGAAACCGCCAAGGAGGAAGAGGAACTCCATCTCGTGGAAGGGCTTGACCATCTGAGCACGCGTCATGGGCTGAGGGCGTGGAGGGTGGAAAGCGCGGACGGTGAGATTAGCAATGATGAGGAGGAAGAGGATCAGAAAGGCGCAGATTCGCATGGCCCATCCGTAGCCGACCTGCTTGATAAGGTGGGAGACCATGATGGGGAAGATGACACCACCGATACTGGAACCGGTGGAGAGAATGCCGAATGCAGCGCCACGCTTGAGGTTGAACCATCCACCAATGCAGCTCAGAGCTGATAGAGTGTTAGTGGGATGAGAGGAGACATGCGGATGTGGAGGTACTCACAAGGCTGGAAGATGGCAGAGACACCAATGGCGGAGCAGACACCCTGAGCAAGGAGGATCTGCCAGTACTTGGATGCCAGACTGGTCATCATGATCCCGAAGACATGGAGGAGACTACCGCCGAGAATAAGCCATCGAGGGCCAAAGTTGTCGTAGAGAACACCGATGATAGGGCCCATTCCCATCATAAAGAAGATCTGGAGAGAGGGGATCCATGCGATGGTACTGGCTGAGTAGTTGCTAAGGAGAGTAGTCTGGTAGTATTCCTGAAACACACCGACACCTGTGAGAAAATACAAGGTTAGTGATGTTGTTGAAGGCTAAGAAGGGTGGAGTTGGCTTACTGTTGAGCCACCCAAAACTGCAGAAGGATGTGCACCAGGCTCCAAGAACAACCAGCCATGCGACGAGACCTCCGTCAGGGGCATCGCTCCCAGGAGGGCCAGTGACCACCACCTTCTCTGCGTCCTTTTCTGTGTCGAACCCCTTGGAGCTTGAGGGGGCGCTCGAGATAGCCCCCTGGTCATCGGTGGCCATGGCCGGCGTGAGCGTCTGCTCCGACCTCTGCGGAGTCTGAGCCTGCGACATGTTTCTTACGGTTGCTTGGTGTATGTTTATGTGTCTGGGAGGGTGTTCCAGAACTGGAATGGTTGGTTCACTGTGGCTGCGTCCCGTCCGGGATTGATAAGATGCAAGATTTGAGTCGATTTGGGTCGATCTTGTTCAGATGGGACGCAGCAGATGCGACGTAGGGGATATTTAAACGTCCCAAAACAAAGATCATTTCCATTATTATTAATTTACCAGTGGCCCTGGAGACGCGAAACCGCGAGGGACAGGCCGAGCAGAGAAAAGGCCGAGCCAGTCAGGCTCCAACGCGCGGAGTTAAAAGAAAATTGGACATTATGGGGCCAGATTTGGCCTGCTTATTACAAAATCACCCCGTTCTACTCTTACTGCAGACCCTTTTGAGCAACGGTGTCCGCGGCGAATGAATCATCTGTCTAGGGCCAGGGTTGGCATAAGCACTTTATCCCGGCTGCGCGGCACTTTAGCCCTCGCCGGATGGTTTCATGGCATTTTAACGCCGAGGCCGGGCGTATAGCATGACTAATCCCATACGACATCGGGCAAGGTCTGCGGCCTGTCGATTTGTTTTAAAACCGAGGCCGTCCCATCCCACAGCTCCCGGCTGGCCGGTGTATTGACCCTCGTTCATATCGGGCGTAGATGCTCGGCGCAACCAGCGAAAGCACAGAGTGGGCAATTATATTCGCCGAGACACCCAAAGCCAGGCGCGCCTTACTATTCCCCGAGAAGGGTTACAATAGATGGATGGGCCAGGGAATATGGACGAGAAAGCAGATTCACCGGGCGCAGCCAACGCAGGGGAACAGTCCATCATGTCGTCCGACACCCTCAGCAACAGCAGCCAAGACCTGTCTGGCAGTCGGCCCCGGCCCCGATCTTGCATCCTCTGCCATCGTAGGAAGATCCGGTGCGACAAGAAAGAGCCCTGCATGCATTGTGTCCGGGCGGACAAGCAGTGCGTGTATCCGCCCTCTGGACCGCGGGTTCGGCGTACCAAGCGGACGCTGATGGCTGACATGTCATCGCGGATCCAGAGCCTGGAGAAGACTCTGACAAATGCTAGAGCGGCAGTCCAGGCGGGGCAGCGCCGGGGCGGGAGTGTGCCTTCGCCAGCTGAGACCGAGGAGGCACATCGGTCTCCGGCCTCCTCTATCGCCTCGCTGCCGATAGGTCCGGCGGCTCCCTATAGGAGGGCACCAGGACATCGTCGCAGGAGGTCCGGGGAGGGAGAGGCCATTGTTGTTGAGAAGGGGTCGTCCAGCCAATACTTCAACGAGTTTCTCATCTCACGTGTTCTTGAAGATGTGCGTCCGTCCCCTGCTCCATCCCACACCAAGGGCCAGCTTTCAGTCAGCTTCCGGGACTATCACTAACTAGATTACCAATCATAGGAACAAGAGGTCAGGAGTGTTCTTACAACGCCCCAGTCAGTAAGCCAAAAGCCTCCTCCCTTGACACCATTCAACCCCCTGGGCATCCTCTCTGAGCCCTCGTTATCACTGCCAGTCTCGAGCTTTCACCCCTCAAAAAACGTGGCCCTCAGGTTATGGAGACTGTACGGTGAGAGGGTAGAGGATGTCACAGGTCACAAGGTCCTCCATGGCCCCACGGACGAGGTGAAGGTGTACACCACCATCGGCGACCCGAGCAACGCATCTTATGAGAACCTCGCGCTTTGCTACGCCATATACTTTACCGCAACCGTGTCGCTCGAGAAGTCCGAGACTGGGCAGGTCCTGGAAGACGACAGGGTCACTTCTCTGTTCAACTTCAAACATGGACTGGAGCAAGCGTTTGCACACGGAGACTTTCTCGACCGCCCTTCCATCACTTCACTCTTCGCCTTATCGATCTACCTCGTGAGTTCTTCATTCCCGCTTGGCGATATACCTATGCTAATCGCTAGAACTTCAGTGTGGTCTCCGTGTCCAGCATCGCGGGCGATCCCTTTGGATTCTAAACGGCTTAGCCATCCGTATAGCGCAATCTCTCGGGCTCCATAGAGACGGTGAACGCCTCGGCCTAAGTCCCTTCCAATCAGAAATTCGCCGACGGTTATGGTGGCATCTGCTCTCCAGGGACGGGCGAGCAGGCGAGGACCACGGCCTCCAGGTCGCCACCTCTCACACCTGGGACACACTAAACGTGGCCATGCCGCTCAACGTCGAGGACGTGGACCTGTACCCGGAGATGACGGAGCTGCCACCGCCCCGGAAAGGCTGGACGCCCATGACGTTCGGCCTCATCGCCATCCACATCTCGCGCGCGACGTCCAGGCTCGACACCATCGCGTCCGAGTCGACCTCGTGCTCGCCGCCGGACGAGAACCTCCGCCGGCAGATCTGCCAGGAGCTCTCGGACCACGTCGAGCAGCACCTGGAGCTGTGCAACCACGCCATCCCCCGGCAGCGCATGACGCTGACCATGGCCCGGTTCGTCGTCAGCAAGATCGAGATCATGACGCGGCAGCAGTGGACGTTCCTCGCCGCGCGGGGCGGGTCGCGCGAGCAGTTCGCCACGGAGCAGAACCTGGTCGAGTCGCTGGACATCATGGACATGAAGCTGTCCATCAAGGCCGACGAGATGCTCAAGCCGTACTGGTGGTCGCACCCGGCGTTTCCGCAGTACCACGCGCTGTTGTATGCGCTCTGGCATCTCTGCGTGAAGCCGGACAGCCCGCTTGCTGAGCGTGCTTGGAAAGTGATTGACAAGGTGTTTGAGAGCGATATGGGTGATGATTCTATCGAGGGCTTCAAGTCAAAAGAGGCCGTTCTGTACGCCCTCCGGGCCAAGGCCAGGCTCCTCCTCGAGCAGTCGAAGGCTCCTACTACCACGCTGCCGACGATGGATCAAGCAGGGGGTGAGGGAGTCACAGCTGGGCCGAAAGACCACGCGCCGTTACTGGCACATCCAGCTAGAGTGGCAACGACGATGGCTGGAGGAGGGGAGAATGGCGCGAACTGGGCTGGTTATCCGATGGCCGGAGTGCCTTCGAATCCGATTGATCTGAATATTGATTCGTTGGACTGGGAGGCGCTGGTTCAGGGGTTTCAGCCCCAGATGCCCACAATATGTGATCTCTCGTGGTAAGGCGTCTTGGGTAATCTGTACAATAACCAAATACAACTGGAAGATAAGCATTTTGGGGTGTCACATGTGCTCAAGTCTAAAACATCCATTCCAATATATGAACCCGGATGTCAAATATCGTTTCATGGTCAAGAGGTCCGCCATGGAGGCTATGGACCTAATACTAGAATTGACAATGGCAACTATCATAATATGCAGAAAACAAACCATTTGACGATATTTTGTTTGTAAGTTAACTGTTGTTAATTCCATCCCGCCCACGGTTTCTCTCATCGGCACTGCTGAGTCCAGAATATCTGCCTACCCTATACTCCCAGAAATTCGTGCCAAAACTCCCGTGCAGGCTCTCCAAATGTTCACAGTTTGATGAAATAATTTATGTTATTGCGTCTAGTAGAGACCTCAAACTCTCACCATAAGTCCGATAGTGCCATAGGGGCTCATAGTGAGCGGTTTAGATGTCTCCCTTTCCCAGCGATCAACCCACCAAGACAGTAAGCTCAAAATGAGCATTCAAGTCCATCTTCACACTTGATTTCTCTAGCTTGATTACTTTGACACCAAAACGCCATATTTAAACTTAACTAGTGAAGTCACTTGACACAAGAATATTTCCATAGGTCGCCAGGTTTATAATGACGGCCTGAGGATGCGAGTATAGTACCCAAGCGGGCTTGTTTCCCTGTGTTACAAAAAAACAAACGACTTGCCTGCTGTGCTTCCTAGCAAAAGCAATACCGATGGCATTTCCATCAACATCTTGAAACACGATGCTCTTGGTCGTGTAAGAAATGATAAAAGGGTGAATGAGGAAGCAGATGGAAGACGGGTCTTCTATTAGAGGCCCCCAAGCTGTGTAGCTTATCGACTGAGGTCCATTGACCAACTCTCGATGAGCTTTACTTAGCTACTCAGAGGGAATAGATTCTTGCCTCTACGATCTAGGAAGGCTTTCGAGTTCTTCGAGGTTCTGATGAAGTAGTATAGGTTATCCGTCAATGCCAATCGCTTTATCCAGCATAGCATTTAGTCTTGAAGAACTTGTTTATCATGGCCAATAGTTCATCATACTCCGAGAACGAGAGGTAGATATGCGCCCGAAATTGAGACAATCGCGTATTCCAACAACGGTGAAGGTTCCGGACGTGCATATGACAAGAATCAAGGATTTCTTTGAGGCCGCAACTCCGCTCTGGTCAACAGCTCGGGGCACACAGTTGCTATTCTTCTATTCGCGTTGGGCGTTGAGATCTTAAATTCACTTGCGCCCTCAGATGAAAGCAAAAACTCTCGGGCAGTAGGGTGAATCATATCCACCTACCAATCTCCTGGTCGACTGTCACCAACTGGTCACATAATTCTTGCACCGCGGTTTTTGCACCCGGAAGAAGTGTGTTGTGTCAAATTTGAGCGCTTGTGAGAGCTTTATGGTTGTCTAACTTCGTGCACTTTCAACAATCCAGATTAACACAGCCTTAACGATGTGATTTCCCATGTATTTGTGACCATAGCTTTGATTGTTCACTCGTAGTGCCATCATTCCTTCAGGGACTCCATCCAGGACTTTCACAATGGTATCACAGGAGTACATGGTTTCGAGTTCGTCAAGCACCAGTCGCACCCAGAGCAAAGAAGCGCTAGACTTGCGTTCAATAGTAGCCAGTAGATCCTCTCTGCCATTTTTGTTGTTAGTAGATGGATTCTCAATGCACGTCTCAGTATAGAGGAATATCCTGAATAATATTGTGAGCAGGAATCCCAAAGCAGGTAAAAGTAGGTGAAGGCTCTAGGTTTTTTCACAGTCGTTGAATTTCAGGAATATTCCGGCTCGTCTAAAAAAATTCGAAGTGGGAAGCTAGGCCGCTCTCCTCTCAGCATAGTGAACAGAGGAAATGCAGAGACTTCTTTCCAAGCATCCCGACGGCCTTGGTGGGTTTCAGGGTGACCTACGTTCCAACAAAGTGGCGCTGGCTCAAAGTCTCCAGCAAACACAATTGAGTTCTCAAGAAGCAATACCAAGGCGCCGATAGAGAGTTATGGGCTCATATGGCTACTTCTAACATAAGCTGCCTTGAGCAGTCCGAGCCCAGGGGTCTGGAAAGCCGCTTATGTGAAGTAGCGATAGTAGATGGAAAACCAAGTTACGACGCTGATTAGAGGGGGCATTGCATTTTGAAACGCTTAAACATTAACCTGCTTGTTTTCGAATTGATGACACACCGAAGATTGTCAAATTATACCGATTTATACTGCCCTATTATTCTACTCGTCGTAGAAGGCGTCTGCTTACAACTATCCTTCAGTCCGGGGTCTCATTTCGTCTGTCACCCAGTTGCCAGCTACTACTTCCCTATTTGAGCTATAAATGTTCCAAGCCGTGCTAGGTAATTTATGCGTTTGTGTCCTTGAAGATGACCCATTGCCAAGCTGCCAAGGCCCTCAATTTGAGCTGTGCCCCCATCCCCTGGACTGGACCATGGCTCGGCCATAACAGTTGGGCAACGCCCCTTGCCGTTTTAACCGATGGAAAACTTCTGGAGAATTTATGCATATTTATATCCGGCCTCTTCCCTGCTTCTCCAACTCGCTAATTTTACGACAAGTTCTCGCTTGTTTCCGAAGACGCTCGTTTTAACTCGCCGATCCCTAAAACTCACCACCAACTTTCGACACTCGTTATTTGTCCCTCGCGATGATCTCCTCTACTCTCGTTAACGCCCTAGGCTTGCTGCTCATTGGCGCACAGCATGTCCGAGCAGCCAGCACAGTCAACATTGCCTCCTCGGTCAAAGCAGACACCGAATTTACAGTTACGGTGAACACTGAAGGTCTGGATAAATGGGGTGGTTCCGAACGCTGGAGCAAATTCAATGTCTACCTGACATTGCGACTGCCCGATACCGCCAAAACCGAAGCCCAGGTGTGCATTCTAGCGAATTCGACCAACCTTGGGAGTCTCTCCGGAACCAAGAGTGCCAAGGTCAAGATCCCCGCCGACGCAGCTCCTGATGGCGCGAGAGTCATGGCTAGCGTGATCATCTATGAATCAGACCCCTATGGAAACCTCACATCCGGGACCCGGACCAGCGACAGAGCCACCTTTCAGGGCGGAAATGCTAAGTGGGCAGAATTTGAAAACCAAGGCCGCGCGTTGTGGATTCCAGACTACATCCCCTGTACTTCTTACGCTTGTGCCCGAGAGTGTGGCGTGAAGCATTGGGATGACATCAAGGAGGTCAAGGATATATCTGCCTATGAGAATACTTACGGATGCATGACATCGTGCTCCGGTACTACATTAGAGCCCTGGAGCGACTTTGTTGCCACCTATTACGGCGGGACTGTCAACGACACTGATTCAGCAAGCACTACATCTGCTGCCTCGGCCTCAGCGACGGCTTCGACTACCACTAGTGTTTCTCAGACCGGTACTTCTGCTTCTGCTTCCTCTTCTACCAGCACCGATACTGGCGCTGCCGATAAACTCCTGGCTGGGAACTTTAGCTTGGTCGTGGCGGTGATGCTTGCTGGCCTCGCCATGTTCTAGGAACCTAAAGCCCGTTTTACCAGCTCTGTTAGGCAGGAATAATCTAGCATTCCTTGGCTAAAGTTCCTTATCGTATTTGAAGATGGTACTTGATCTCAAGGTCCAATGAACAGTTTAGGTTCATGGTTCATATCTTTGAACTGCACCAAAGCATATCTCACTGGGCTCGACAAATATCGATCATTACTTCATATATTGCCAATGCAAGGTGCTGTTATTCTGTTTTAGCCTCGAACTAGATAGCTAAAGTCCCCTGATGAGGATTCCATTCAAGATTTTCCCACTCCCATTTCTCAATTTTACGGTGAGACTGGCGCTGCGATAATTGTCGAATCACCTGTGCTTTTATGATTGTTTGTTACCGTCGTTTTGAGTGATGATATTTGGGCGGGATACGCTCATGCCATTGTTAATGGGTTTCGAGACCTGTTTCTACACGTATGTAATCGACAACGGGAATTAATGCAAGTAAGGCAGTCTTTGGATCGAATGAAATTGAAAATTCGCGGGATATGAGGTTGGTTCGAGGTCATACTGGGAGCAGCTTAGGGAACTCCGTTAAATAAATGGAAACTTTGGATAAATTTGGGCTCTGGGAATAGCTCCCAACCCTCACTAAGAGTTGCGGCACAGCAACCCACCATCGCAGCTCATTGAAGTCATGACAACCATAACAATTCGACCATGAGGCTTAATACCCACTGCCTGTTCGCATCCACAAAGCAGTTTTATCAATGAGCGAACGGCCCCTCGTCGCCAAAGGTACGGTACAGGTGACGCCCTCTTCACAGCCTTAACCCCACAGGGCACGAGAGTAGGCTGACTAGATTATATATGCGAGTAGTGAGATTATATTGCACCAAGACAAGACCTCGGGTGGAGACCAATTAGAATACAGGGCAGCTTTGGAGCTAATCACAGCGGTGGCATGACAGCAAGGGGCAGTGCATCCTGCAACTCGCTTCTAGGATGTAAGGCATTCTTGTTGCATGGGTGATTGGCTTGGCACGCATTGAAAAGGGGACAAGGCTGACTACTGATTCTCGCAAATGATTATTTCCAGACAGACCTTGGATTGCTTGTGGGAGTTATTAAAAAGTGACTCTCGCAATGGAACAAGATTCAGTGATGCTGCGCCGCACTCTTGCTTGAGCTCGAGTCTCTAGGTCCAGGACAAGGGGAATTGCTACGAAACTCTACCTCTCAATGGCCATGAACACATACTAGAAAACTAGAACAAAAATGTGATGATATTTACTACACCACCACAGATTAAGAACAGTCATTTGTCCCAATGTTCCTTGTTCCGGTTACGTTCATGCAGATGTTACAAACAATGTGAGTGTACCCGTGAACGTGAGAGCTGACTAAGGCCGCTGGCTTTGTTATTGTCATATCGGATATCCTACTCCTAAATAATCTGGCCACTTTCACAATCACATTAATTGCTTCGCGAAAGAAAATTGTGAGCGACCGTTGACTAACAATTTACGCGCGTGAAGTTGCCCATCTGCGGCCCTCTCCTACCGTCATTATCATCCACGAGGAGCTGAAGTATGCGTGGGATACTGGCATCTTTAGCCAAATGGCTGGAACGAACTCGACGAGGGAAGAAAAGAAGAAATACGAGAACACAGCCCGCTACTCTTAATGATAACCGCCGAAACGAATCGGGCGGGCAGGAAAGAAGTACAAGAACCCAAGGGGCTACTCCTGATGATAGGCGTTCAAATGAATTTGTTGGATACATCCCGGAAACTGCAGAGCCGGTCCCTGCTCTGCCGATCGTCAGGCCGAGGGCGCTTACGCCTTCAGCATCAAGGGAAGACTTGAGCTCCTCTGCGGCTAACCTCACGGCCCAATGTGCCTTCTTTGGGAGGCTTCCTTTTGAGATCCGTCGCAAGATACTTGTCGAGGCTTTTGGTGGACGCACTGTTCATATGGATCTTTGGTTCGATCATCCGGAACTGCCAATAGATGAGGCACATTTCGATGGCTCAGAGGAGAATTTTCCGAATCATGGAAACCGACATCTAGATGAGAGGCAAAATTGGCACATGGAAGTTCCCCAGCTCAGAGTCGACACGTCTTTACCTAAGGGATGGCTATGGCGCAGTTCTGACTGCCATAGACGTCTTACGGTGAAGGATGGGGACGAGATCAGGGAAAAGCAAGCAGACCGACATTTCATCAATGCAGCGGAGGATCGTTGTCGCTTTGGAGGAGTGTCTCCAAGACTTTGCCAATATTGGCCTGGCGACGGGCCATCAAAGTGCTTCGTCGGGGCTATGGGGTGGCTGTTGAGCTGCCGCCAGGCGTATGTTTTCCAAGACTACCGCGATATAGGCGAACTGACCCCAGCTAATATTGCTTGAAACGTAGGTATTCCGAAGGCGTTGATGTTTTATATGGAACAAATACGATTCATACAGCCAGTAAACAGATGATGCTACACTTGGACAAGCTGATTCTTCCTCAACGGCTGTCGATCATCAAATCAGTTGAGCTAGTGTGGTTCTTTAAACCATATCACTCATCATACAACGAACCTAGACCCCTTGATGATTTGGGTACATTCCATAAATTCTTAGCCGTCTTGCCCCGTGTACTCCCAAACCTTAGGTCTTGTTATCTCGCCTTACAAGGCGACATCTTACCAAGAGAGCACAGGCAAGGTTATGAGCCTTTTATGGACGTGTCAGAGTCAGTCAGGATCACAGACAGGGATATAATGGGGCCAATTGATTCAATGGTAGGCAAACTAGGCCCGCAACTCACAGATTTCAAAGTAGCGTTGTCCAGCTTGGCTTATCAGGGGAGAAGGGCTGAAGCAATAAAGCTAGGAGAAACCATCGTTGAACAGATTCACGAGGGTCACTGGATAGAACGTCACTGGAGGAGCATCGACAAAGGAACAAATTTGAAGGGGTACTGGATACAACTTGGGCATCGAGATTTGGTTCGAAATAGGGATCAATGCTATTGCTTTGGTAGCTCGCCTCAGATCCCAGAGGAAGACCAGGTGTTTGAGAGACCTTTTGGCCTCGTAGGACATAGCGCGCATATTTTTACCTAGAAGCAATCCTCTTTTTAGCTTTATTTGGTTCAATGATAATATAACAATCAAAATGACGCTGTCCTAAATCCAACGTGTAGTGAATCTCCTAGAGTCTGGAGATTGGGTGAATTCGGGCATCACCTCAGCGCATATCCCGTAAAGCAGGTGCTGAAATGATGCCGCAATTGATGAACGTAGAATAACGCCCATATCACAATGAGTGTAATGTGGTGATCAATTACTTGGGGACTTATTTCTTTGCTTGGGCAGATATAATATCAAATGGCACTGACAAGTGGCAAGGTGAGGAAAGCAGCAAAGAGGGTCAAAGCCATTCCAGTCTCACGCTCAATATCTCGTAAGTATGTTCACTGAAGAACTTGTTGCATTCGAGTATTAACCTGAAAATCTACTAGAAGACTTGAGTAATCCAGCTCTCTTTTACTTTCGTAAATATGGCAAGCATCTAGGGCAGAGTAGAAACGCCCCTATTCTCGTACCATCCTACCAATGAGTATACAGTTTAACTAACCCCCACCCTCTGTGGGCTGCATTCTTGAGGGCGGTACTATTTGCATAATACGAAAGTCTTATAATTGCACCGTGTAGTCACTTGGCTGAACGGCAGAAGAAAGCGGTAGATAGTAGATTGAAAGGTGGTTATCAGTAGACTATTTTATACAATAATACTAGTCGTAAACTTAAAAACAAGTAATATATTGTTTCTCTTAGATCCGAAAACAGGTCAGATACGCGGCACACAACAGTATTCAGTATGGTGTGAATAGGCCTCCCCCCCATTTTGATGTTTCCTAGCCTATATGACACCAGTGCAGTTTTGGATTTGTAATTTCATGCCAATACGATAACTTCCCGGCGCAATATACTACATAGTGCCTTCCAAGCTTGTGTTAGTGATGAGAATGTCCCAGTTGCACAGTTCTCGGAGCTAATACGTTGATAAAGTCCTAAACCCGGGCTCTCCCTCAAGCCTGCAGAGGGTGGGCTGGCCTTAAGCATTATGTCGGGGATAAGGGAAAGAAGTATAAGTTTACTGCAAACAAGATTTTTATCAAGATCACAGAGAGATATCTCAAACAACAAGAGCAAGATGGCATCTTCAAACAAACCTACCTCAGATACTTTGCTGTCCACGGCGACTGCCTACTTCCAGGTCTTCACTACCATGGACCCAGACGTCATCTCCCACATTCAAAGCGACGACTATACCCACGAATTCGCCCCGGCTTCCTTGAACATGTCCGGCACGCGCACAAAAGAGACGTTTGCCTCACATCTGAAACACCTTGCAGGTGTTCTGGAGAGCTTCCCTGTGAGCATCAAGCAAACTTGGGTGAACCCATCCCTGAACCAGGTGACAGTGTGGGCAGTTTCAGAAACCAAATTCCACGAGCATGTCAAAGACAATGATGACGAGGAAGAGTGGAAATTTCACGGGGAGTATATATTTATTTTGGATATGGACGAGACCGGACAGAAGGTGAAGCACGTGTTTGAATTCCTGGATAGTAAAGCTACAGAGAATTTAAGGCTCTTGGCCGCCAGGGCGTTCAAGAAGAAGGAAGAAGTAGAAAGCAAACGGGTTTCGAGCTGAGTCATAATTGAATCTCAGCAAATAAAGACAAGAAGCGGGTTTATGCCCTCTAATAAGCCAGTTAATGTAGCTAACATCTCCATGTCAGAGTGCGATCAGTATGTTTCATCCTGTTCTACATTTGGAATAACTAGGCGAGTAAAACGGCTATCCAGAAAAAGAAAACTAAGTCCTACTGAAGATATATAAGGGATTCCAGCGACAACAAACCCCCCACATCTTTTCTCCTATTTCACTATTCCAATTGAAGAAACGTCTTGCGCGGGTCACTCTAGTGAGATGAGACCCCCGGAGTTTATTGCAATTTTAAGTACAGAGTGGGCATGTCATCTTGTCATAGGATAGGCACCATAGGGACCGGGGAAATGCTACTTGAGAACGTTCGTCCACTGAGAGTCGATGGACGAGGAGCATCTGGCGAAGCTCAGCCACTGCCGTTGCGCTTTCTCGCTTGTTTGTTGGCGAGTTGGGGTAAGAACGATTGGATGAAGCAATTTGAGCATACCAGAGCATATTAGGCAATCTTCTTGAGCCTTTTCGTATAGATGGATGCCTGGGCCTTGGTCGACGTGGCCTAGAAGACGACGTTATTAGTCTTATCGAGGGTCTAGCGCACACTGATGTACTCTTGCCCGCGGCCCAGCGCATGTTGATGAGCTCAATCAAATCGATGTTCTCCTCAGCGAAGTGTCGACTGATGGTGCTGGGTTGCTCTGTCGCTTCCATCTTGTAGATTGGCGCCATGAGGCTCAGAGTGTTAGGACAGACTGGGGTAGAGCCGCCAGCAACCACTACGATTACCGTGCACTGTTTATCGAGTTTTGATTTCTCGTTCCTTTGCAGTCATTTCCAGGTTCTGTCTCTTGCTCCAAGTCGCGCTTCAGTCTTCTGCCTAATGATGACTACATGTAGTATCGCAGCGATCCCCCTTGGCCCTCGTCCCGGGAATCCCTCGACTTAGCTAGCACCCTGTATTGAAGATAAGAAAGATTTCAATGAGAGAGACGACTAATAAAAGCGCGTCGCGATAAAGCAAAGCAAGCGAGGAGAAACCAGCCATCTTCCATCGAACTTGACCTACGGCGAATTGAGTCAACACCTCTAGCAATTATACCGCTTATTGTCGAGTCCGTGACCGGTATTATCAAATTATTGAGAGCTAATCATAAATTCTAAGAGACAAGATAATAGATATTCTTAATTTCGACCGTTTTATATGCCCGTATTGTTCCAGGTAACTTCATGAAAAGGGGTCTGCTCATACCCGCCCTTCAATCTAACGTCTAATTTCTTCTGTCACCAGTTGGGCGTCTAGCCTTATCAATGCATTACTTGGCACCATTTGATCAATTAATTGATGAAATCAGCACCCCTTGTGTATTTATCTAAATGCATGTCGTCTGAAAATTGGGTGCGTTATACGATTAAGGAGTGGCATGAAAACAGACGTTGGTATTGTACTCATAGAAAGTTCTTGAAAATACCATTGTTGGCTCAGCCGAATCGTAAGTGGCAGCTACTATGTAATCTCCCCCCTCCTGCAGACCAACCCACGGATCACAGTGTCAGGGTTTCGGAAAGGGGGTGCTGGATCCATGCTCATGCATAAACCACTCTGCAGTGGATTTGTTGGAGGCAACCATTTCAAACGTAGGGCTGATTTGGGAATACCGACATATTAATATCCTCCCCGAGAAAATCATGGGGACATGCTCAGCACTACACAGACTTGGGGCCATAGGTAAATTGCTTTAGTGAAGTGTGCAGACTCCCTCGCTTACCTATCGTTTGGTTCTAGAACAAGATCAAAAGGATGGAGGCAAATGGAGGGACGTTGCAGATTCATTGCCTGGAGCACTAAAAATGCTAGCCAAGCTTCTCACTGGCACTTTTGTGTCATGCTCGGTATCGCGATAAAAGGGGCAGTTACGCAGTGTAGCCGGGGAAGGCCCAGAAAGGGCAGATAACTCTGAATTCCCCACTTGACTTACGGCAAAGGCTTTGATCCATTAGGATTCTAACTCAGCTCACATTAGGATTCTAACTCAGCTGAAGATGGCTGCTAATTTCTTTCTTATCCCAGGCTACCAGTCATCCCTGAGCGTTGCAAGGCAGAAACATCTACGCTTCAAGGTGAAGAAGGTGGCAAAAAAGCTGATAATTTCAAGTCAACTGGTTGTAAATAATACGCGTTTCCTAAATGTCTACGAATTTTACACGGTCCTGAATCATTTCCCAGTAAGGACGGCGATTGTGTCTACACGACCGGCAAACGCAAGTCACTAAATCCTACCGGCATCGAGTGGCAGGTTAAGCGGTCCTTCAGCTGGCTTTGCACTTATTTTTAGACTGTTGAAGTGAGAATGCTAGTAAATACATAGTAATTACATTACATTGGAAAGAACAATTTGGTTAGGCGTCCGTGGGATCTGAAGTCGCCGTCTGCCAGCTCAGCTGGGCTCTAGCTAACCAACTAGCCAGGGCCGGAATGCAAGATTATGGATCAATTCCCTCTCCCCCCTTGTCACCCACCAAGTTGCAAAAAAACGACAGGGTCCTCTTTAGCAGTTGCACTTGGCACCCAGCTTATCCTTCTTTCCACAAGTTCCGCACTTTCGCCACTTGGTGGCCCAAGTAGAGGGCCCTGGGACTGCCTCTTCACAGCTGTAGGGCTTCTTGTCACCCCTGCAGAAGGCGTTACCTCCCAGCTGTTTGTAGATGCCAAGTTAGTAAACGGGGGGCTTTCAAGGAACAAGCAGAGGGGAAAGGGGGGGGGGGGCTTACACGACGGAAGAGATCACGCTTCTCGATGTACTCGTCGCGAGCAGCGAGCATTTCCTCATGGACGTCCTCATAGTCGCGGATATCGAGCGCCTGAAGGGGCTCATCGTACATACGTTGCGAGAGAGTGGCTGTAGTGACCGAGGCCATGGCGACGATGGAAACGAGAACGTTGGTGAAATGCATTTTCGCTGGCTTAAAATTCGAAGTTATTCGATATAATGAGGGGTGATATAATGCCTGAAGAGATGAGAAGGAAAAGAGTAGCTGTCTTTGTTGGTTTGCAAGTGGTTTGGTGTTACATTGACGATGGAGGAGGGGGCTTATATATCTTTTTGTCTTGAGCCCAGACTAATCATCACTGGCTCAAACCGTATCTTCTATCTTTCTATTTTAGGTCTTGCATCTTTCATTTGTTTTGTCTGGGGACGGGCTCCGCGTCTATCAAAGACGGACGGACCGCGTTGCCGGGATCTTAAGGAGGCACAGTCAGATGGAGGATGATTGATCGCTGTAGTTTACTGCAGGTACAAACACGTGGAGAAGTCATGATGACCACTGCCGTGTCTCATGCTCAAGACTCGGCTGATGTACTGAGCATAAGGTATAAATCCAGACACGAGAGAAGTAATGGGTGATATTAATAGACCATGAGTGCCTATGGACCCCTGCTCAATAAAACATGGCGCCTCACCTTATTGCCAGGCATTCCCTGTTGCCTATCAGAGGAACCCAAAGAGGAAGCAACATTCGATGTCTGGAGGTTGGGATTTCCTTTTCAGGTTTTTGTCCCGCTTCCCATGAACAGGCCCCCCTTGCCTCCAAACAAGTGCCGAATACCGAAGGTCAGCCATCCGGTTCAAAGGCGATATCGCGTTTTTCACAACAACAAAAGAGCAGCAGCTAAAAAGAAGAAGAAAAACGGGCAAACAAGCAACAATTGTTACAATATCGACCAACACGAACAAATCTGAGACTAGTCTAGTCAAAGACGGGGGAGATATTCCTTCCTCCATCCTCCAAGCCTATTGTAGCATAGCATAAGGTGGTCAATGCAAAATCTGGATCCAGCTGAGAACATGCATCGCTAAAAATTGTCCTCTCCGAGTAGTCCGGATGAACGATGGCCGTTCCCGGGACCGAATCACTAGTTCGAGAGGATGGCGGCGGACACTGTGTGAGCGAGTTCGTATACACGCGGCTACTCTTGAACTCCCCTGTCTACATTTGGAATTCACCGCTAATTCCTCCCACTTCCCGAAATTACACAGTATTTACATGGCACGGAACATGCACTGCAAATGGTAGATGACCGGTACTCAGCAAGGATCGGCACGGGAATGGCAGTTGTGTTCGTTATCTAGTCCAAATGCAGGGTTTAATTGGGCAGCGCATAGATTGCCTGATTCGAGTCTTTCCATTGGCTTCTCAGTCTCAGATTAATTGAATATTGAATCCTTGGAGGTAGGGCTTACTGTGGATGTCACCACCATGTGCCGAGTCCTACTCAAACGGGCAGGGTATTCCGGGCCAGCCAGCTTTTCCCTTGGCTTCACAACAAACACGATAAAACTCAGCCTCAGTAATTTTTTGTGAGTAGCTGCGCGTGGCAATTCCGCAGATCCTAATATCAGCTTGAGATCACGAGTCTACCGTGGTTAAGCATGAGATATTTATGTCTCGGGCAGATCGGCTGCAATGGCCAGCATCTTAGAAACAATCCTTCTACAAAATTATTCTCGAGGTATATTCATAGATACGAAGTGGTATGACTTCGGTTATTACCAAAAATGGTGCACTATTTATCTCAAGTCTCACAGTGTCCGTACATTCCATACGACAAGGTTCCTGATGCATACTACGTGGTGGACTCCTTTTTCAGTCGTTTACCAGTGTGTTCCCAAGCTTGCAAGTCTATAACCCATGGATTTCCCCTGAAAATTATCGCGGAAACTTATGACGCTACTCTCTTCCTACATATGCTATGGTTACGAAATTTGATCGTCCAGCTTTAACACTTCACATCCATCCGTCGTCTAATATTTCACCAAAAAGACTAACCAATCTCTCTATGCCTCCAACATTGATAGAGATACTTAGCCAATCGATCTTATTCTTGATGGGCCGGTCACTACTTCTTGCCGCCAGCAGCTTATCCGTCCATGACATCGCGGGCGTCCTGTTGCTTAAATGTGGCATCCTAGATCGCGCCTTCGACGTCTTCATGTTCGGTCCCTCGAAGTTTACCTGTCACAATACAACTTGCTGACATCAACATCGGTCGAAGGTCGAAGAATATACACCGTGGATAGTAAAAATCCGACCCTCATTGACACCCAGGGTGACTGAGTACGTCCTCGGAGCAGGGTGCTGCTCAACACAATAGGAACAGCGGTGAAGTGACTCCCGCCTCGGGTATCAACAACAAAATGTAACCCATTTCGGCACCGGTACTTCGGCAACCAATTCAGAGCATTGACTCAAAGTGATTAAAGTACTTCTGGAATCAGGGGCGGACATTCCCATGCCTGCTTGCTATGCACAAGTCCAACTTTTTGCGCCCTGCACAATTAAGGCAAGCAGGATCAATCCTTTGGTGCAATAAAAGGCTATTAAAAGCCGGGCAGATGCAAACTTATTGCCGTCCCTCTCCTGCCTGTCTCTACTTTGTGTGTGGGCCATCTTCGAAGCAGTGCCTCTTGACCGGGAAATCAAGCTTCGCGACTTTCCTCGTGGTGATACTTCCTGATATTTGAAGCTTCCACCAGCATCAAAATCCCCAGGTCCCCAGTATGATGTTCTACGAAATTTTCTGAAGCCAGTTCGAGTGTTTCCATCTCTGATGAGGATGAGAGCAGAATCAAACCGCTCCCGAACCCTGACTTTGTCTTGGTGAACAGCCGAGCCAAGATATTGTGCAAGGGCTGTTTTTTCTTCCAGAAAAGTAGAGTATTCCACGATTCTTCTTTTTTCACCCTCAGGTTGTGTATTGGTTCGTAAGAACACATCTCACGCGCTCTCCCATCACGTACCAAGGTTAATGAATGTTTATTACCTGTAGAGCTTCGGGCTTTGATAGTTCTTCTGAGAACTATGTGAATTTATGACATATATCGATTCCGTGGGTAGAAGCATCACATTTCAAGCGGTCAACATTGAATTTGAGTTGCTCAAATTTATACCGCTTATATCCGACTCTGCAACGGGAATTGTCACCCAGTTGCCTCCTCACCGTCGAAAACTGGTATGAAACTGGCTCGTTACTCCCGAGCAGGCAACTACCCTAGACTTCACCTGATCTGACGCGCGCTTTCTCTTTTGTTGGATTTCTGCCAAGGCACCATCCCCCTCATTTGTTACCCTGTACCGAGCCAAACCACTCAATCCCCCTCGACCAAGAAGCATCTTCTGTCGCGGACGGGTAACCGAGGCAAATGCTTGAACAAGAGCAGGTCCCCGGCCCCTTGGAGGTGAGAGAGAGAGTCAACGAAATCATCAAAGCTGTCGGAGATGCTTTACCATGGCCACCAGGGATGAGGGAATCTACCCACACGGCGACGTCACTTGATGGAACCACTTTGGAAATCCGACACTTCGTTCCCAAGGACCTGCTCGGTGACACATCCGCCAGCCCGCCAGAACGAGCAGTCATCTTCGCCTTTGGTGGTGGTATGACGGCGGGCAGCGTCGAGGTGTTCCGAGGCTTCATCGCCACAGTCGCCCAGCAGAGCGCTACGCAGGTCTTCGCGCCGCAGTGGCGCATCGCGCCCGAGAACCCTTACCCGGCTGGGGTGGAGGACGTCTACTCCTCTATGGTATGGCTACAGGCGAACGCGGCAGAGTTCCACGTCGACCCGGCCCGGCTGGTCGTCTTCGGCGTGAGCGCGGGCGGCTTGGTGGCGGCGGGCGCGGCGCTGATGGCTCGCGACAGGCAGCTGGATCCTCCTCTGGCCGCCCAGTGCCTGCGCTATCCTTGCCTGAGTGACCAGACCACGGTGGCGGCCGACGATCCGAGATTGGGTAGGTTCACGTGGTCGGTGGAATCCAATGATTCAGCATGGAAGATCTACATGGGCGGCTTGGAAAAGTGTACGTCGTCTGCCCTGTCTGTCCCTTTGCTACGAGAGCTCAAAACTGACTTCACCGTCTGCCTGTTCTAGGGGAGAGGAACGATGAGAACTGCCCAATCTACGCGGTGCCTCTTCGAGCCCAAAACCTGGACGGGCTGCCACCTACCCACCTTGGAGTCGGAGAGTACGATATCTTAAGGGACGAGAACAAGGAGTATGCCCGGCGGCTTGGCGAAGGGACGGAGCTGTTCGTGTATCCCGAGATGCCACATGGGTTTGATGCGAACCCAACGCTCAGCCTTGGGAAGGTGATGTGGGATCGAGAGGCCAGGTTCATTCAGAGATTTTGAGATAGATAACGGGTATGAGTGCTGACAGATTCACCTTCACCTGCCATCTTCAGATCCTGGGAATACGTGCTAGGTGATTTCTCATGTCATCAACTCGGTCGACAAGGGCTGTGAAAGGAAGCTCTTTCTTGGATACTGACTGGCACTCGGACTTAGCCATTTCCCCCGTCGGTTATATCTCTCCCGAGCCGGATTGATAAAAAATTAGCCTGGCCGAAAGGCAGAGGGAGTGTGGATTCAATCGCGCGGTATATCATCCCACTTACGTAGCGTCGGAAAGTGGCCACTGTCGTCGTCATGAAGCTTAACTTAAGTTTATTCTGGCGGGCGGATGGCACCGATTCTAGGTCTCAATGCTGGCCTAAATCTCTTTAACTGGATACCGAGGATTTTGTCAGCATCTACAAATCAGTCTCAACCTTGCAATCTTGACGCGGACGGCTCCACAAGGCATCGTAGAAATCCCAGGAGATTCGACGGGTCCTCTTGGCAGTCGCGGAAAAGTGGACGGACTCATCCAAGATCTAAGCCTCAGTCAGTCAAAGCTTCTAAGCCTCGGTCGGTTACGCTCCGTCCTGTTCAAATCGCTCGCTGGCGGTGACATGCGTTGCCTGCGTGTGATGCCTCCAGAGCTGGTAGACCGTAGAACAAGCTCGCTTGGCAGATCCTGTCCCTGGATTTCACCTCCGTCCAGGCGAATGACTCCATTCAAGGCGATTACGTTGACAGGCCCGAGTCAGTCCGCGCCAGCCTTAAGCGGCAGGAC